AAGGCTAAGAGATTCTAATTGTGACGCATTGTGTACTTTTGGGCTGGTTAGTTGTGAATGACCTTGGATGAGGTCACAATTAGTTATTACTTAATTATATACTAGCATCCCATGACTTACTTTAGAATTATATTGTCATTATTTCCTTCTTTTTATACACGACCTCATTTTACTTGTACCAATCTTTCAATCAAGTGCTAAAAGAGTCAAGATAACAACGCTATATACTTTCTACGATCTTTTACCACCCGGTCTTTTTAAGGATGGTTTGCTAATTTTCTGACTCTCAGATATTCTTTCAAATAGACTCATTGTCTTAACAGCCTAATCTTTGGGCATAAACCACATCAAGTCCTCTAGGTATATGTACTCGACATAGAAACAGCAAGTTAAAAGGCCAATAAAAAAACAAGACCAGTGATTAAGAAGGTTATAGAGCTGATAGAGATACAAAGAGAGCATAGATGGAAAGACAAGGCATGGATTAATGTAGAATGAGTAGTTTTGAATTGTAGCAAGGCAAAGTATTCAGCTCCTGAAATAATTTTGCAAGATGATGCCAAAATTGATAGAAAAGATAAAGTTTGGGGCTTCTTCTCGAATAGTTAGGTCTACTGTAATAGAAAGGCTTAATATGGCCACGACAATGACACGATTAGAGATCATCAGGATAGTGAAAGAGTAAAACAAAAAAATTTAAAAGATTACAATAATGAGGCGTATCTAAATCCTTGCTGAGCTATATCCTAGAAAAATAAAAACTAGGCCCACTGGAAATGCTGGAGATGAAGGCCCGTGTGAAAAGGAGAAAGTTGAGCAAAGATTATGGGCGCTGAGGATTGAGCATATGCACAAAAAGACGTGGATAACAAACTCTCTCTCATCTAACTGTATGGATTAGAGTATATAAAGGTGAATTTTGCTCGTTAGAAGGGGAGATGATTTTTTTGAGTTCACAACTAAGAGAAAATTGAAAGCAACGCAAGAAATTTGTTCTCGGGGAAAAAGGAGATTCGGGAGGTTTCTACAAGATTCTTGCTCTTTTTCATCATCTTTCAGATGTCATTAATCGCTCGGAGGTGATTTCATCACCTGCCGAGCATACTCTCTGTTGCTTTGTTTTCTTGGTCGAGAGTCTCGAAGTGCTCCATCTTCGGTTCAAATCTTGTCTCTGGTGCTAATCTCCTCAGTCAAAGCATTATGAGATTCCTCTTGTCATTTAAACCGAAAATCGTGGCAAAGAACTCTTCCTTGTTGAGCTTTTCCGTCAATGTGTACGTCACCTCTTCGGCTCTGTCCTGTAGCCGAGAACTGCAAGGAGATTAAGTCCTATCTAAAGCTCCAGCATCGTCGATCCCACTTGAAGACCATTAGCAAGGTTCTCCTAATTGGCTTCGTTACTAATTGTAGCATGTAACCTCGACTCCTCTTCTTTGCCGTTATAGCTCCGTGAGCATGCGCTCATGAGAGCATATCCAATTTCAGCTTCTTATTGAGAGGTCGCGACAGGTGTCGGGGGATATATGGGTTTAGAGGTAATCCCAAACACAAACCGATGGTCCACAATCAGTTCGAGTTCTCTCAAACCCTTAACTCGCACTACGGTCGGAAATTCATATAGATTCAATTAACCCTATTAAAATTCTATATGAGGAGTCGCCACTAGTTTATTGGGGTCGACTAAGAACCAAGTGAAGTATGGGAGTATACCTCACTTGTTACACAACCCGAGATCTAGGATCGAGGACTTGATTATATTGCCCTTTCAGTACTCAAACTTGATTATATATGTCAACTAAAATATCCAGTCTTTTTATAAAATTATGAATCCTAAGGTTCTCGCCCCGCTAAATGTCCATACAAATGTTTGTGTGTTTATTATGATTCCAATGTATGGCCAAACCATCCAACTAGGCTAAAAAAAATAATATAAACTCAATCAAGGATCAAGGATACTACATAGAAGGCTAAAACAAACACATCAAAAGCGATAATAAGAGGAGAGTAAAAAGTAATATGCGATAACAATAAGCCGATACAAGTCGGGCAAAGAATATTACACGACCTCATTATTGAGCCCTGGGACAGCAACTCCCATGAGCTAAGTTCTAATCAAATTCAATTTTCTAAATAAACTAATTTTCCTATATTTAAATTAGAGAAAATCAAAACTCCCTAATTCCTAAACTATAACTAAACAAAACTAGATTAATTTTAATACTAAAATCTAACAACCTAATCAAGGTCTACTTTTCTAACAATTTTTCAAATTTTTTATTTTTCGGATTTTTTTTTCTGGAAGGACTTGGGCGGGCTGGGCTCGAATATCGGCTAATCTGATCCTACGAGTCTGGGCCACAGATGCAAATTTGGACTCTTAAATCGGGCCCTTTCAATCTATCTATAATCATTCACTAAAAATATTAATTCAGTCCAAACCTATTCGAGTGAAATTAAGCGCAAACTTTCTAAAGACCAAACCAAACCCAAACTCAATTAAAATCGTAACAAGCTCATGTTAAAAAAAAAACTCAACTTAGGTCATCTTTTACTATGAACAGATTAAACCCATGATATTTTTTTTTTCTTTTTTCTTTCTTTTCTCTTTGATTTTTTTTATTTGTTTGGGCGTATTCCTTTCATCGTCTTCTTCAAGACAAACCGGGAATGCACAGATCCAAAAAAAACATAGCTCACTACACCAGATTATCAAAACTCAAAGGTCATCATACCAGAACGTCAAGATATCAACCGTATATTCCTTTGCCGATTTCTTATTTGTATAGCAAGAACTACGCCCTCACCATTTGCCGGACTGGAATTCCAGCAGGAATCACCGATGACTTACCGTGACAACAGTGAAACCTTCACAAGGAAGAGCACGATCTCAGCTCCGGCCGTTTTATCGCAAACGGTCACCGTTTAACATGAACCATGCAAATACAACAACAGCAAAAACAAGGAATCAGTAATGTACTCGAGGACAACAAAATGTAATGGAAATCAAATCAACCGGCATGTGAAAGAAATTCTGGATTGACAGTAAATTGACTTAGCAAACAGATCCAGTAATCAACATTTTTTTAACAGAATCATCTAGGATATGCCGCATTGGTTTCTAATGGAGCTTATAGTCACAACCACGGATCTAACTCGTGCATCTAATCGAACAAAATGGTGAGCATCGTGTAAAACAATTCCATATGCAATACTAAGTCTACATTTCAGTCCAAAGTATTTCTTGAAAAAGTTTTAATTCCTATCAATGAAAATTAGTTCCAACCCCAATCGCTTTCCAGAAAAAAACATCAACATCTGACTTCAAACTAACCTTTCGTCTGCAAAATAACCGAATCAGAGCGTTTCGAGTCTTACCTTGCTCAGGAGGAATTTTGATCGCGATTATTAGTCAAGCGAGCACGATGAGATTCTGGAGAGCGTCCCTGGGGAAGATGAGCGCCAGAAACTTCTAGCGAGAATAGACCTCCTCGAATTCTCTCTACCAAAGATCAAAGAACAAGGTGAAGCAGACGATGGCTTCAGACAATGTTCGATAGCGACTGTGACGGTTCGCGAATGAAAGAAATCCACAAAACGAAGTGTTTTAGAGCTCTCTGAGAACTGGACCTGATGGAGATGATGATCACGGGGATGGATGGAGATTTGAGTGTGTATTGGAGGATGACTGGCGTGAAGAAGCTTGCGGTGGAGTAACGGCAGAAGAACGCCGCGCACAGATGAGAACTGGAGTGGATATCGTTTTCGTCACCTCCCCTCCAATCTCTCCTTCCGAGCGGTTATCTGGCCGGATCTTTTGCACCACGATTTCCCTTGATTTTCGCAATTCAACTGAATAGATGAGTTTGAATGAGTCAAAAATAAGAGACTCGTTTGACCGATTAAAATATAAAAAAGATTTAAGGTAAATTCAAAGGGTTTTAAATTGCAACATTAATAACTCAAAAATAAACTTAATATGGAATTCGATCGAAAATCCTTTTTTTCTTTATTTTAAGTTTAGCTTTGGCTCATGTGATCATAAGATTGAGCTTGTAATTTTTTTTATGTCCTTACATACTTTCATTTACGAGATTCGAATCAATAGGGTAATTTTTTAATGAGTCAAAAATAAGAGACTCGCTTGACCGATTTAAAAAAAAAAGATTTTAGGTAAATTCAAAGGGTTTTAAATTGCAACATTAATAACTCAAAAATAAACTTAATATGGAATTCGATCGAAAATCCTTTTTTTCTTTATTTTAAGTTTAGCTTTGGCTCATGTGATCTTAAGATTGATCTTGTAATTTATTTTAGGTCCTTGCATACCTTCATCTACGAGAATCGAATCAATAGGGTAATTTTTTTTTGTCTACTAATTCATTATTAATGATTCCTTTTGAGTTAGTTATGATATTTTTCGACTTGTGATTATCTATATTTTAGTATTTAATTTATTTTTTCATCCTTCATATTTTAAAAAATTCCACTTACTGGAATTTGTGAGAGTTTCCATTTCAAATTAGTGCTTTTGCACTATAAAAAAAATTAAGTTTTAGCGACGAATTTTGCCATGAAAAATTTGGCAAAATTCATCGCTAAACGAATTTGTGACGAAAAAAATTTCGTCGGCAATTTGGCGTCGCAAAATTTAGCAATGAAAAATTTCAATTTTCGTTGCTAATTTGCCACGAACTGTATTCGTGCCAAAATTCATCGTTAATTTACCACGATTTTTTTTTTTGGTCAGTAATTTGCGACAAATTTATTCGTGGCAAAATTCGTCGCCAATTTGCCTTGAACATTGTTCCGAGACGAATTTAGCGACAAATTTTTATTAATTCTTTAGCGACGAATATTGTTTAGGGATGAAATTAGCGACAAAATTTTATTTTTGCAATGAACTTTTATAATTTGTGATCGTATGATAAAATCATTTCTTCTATTTTTCGATTTTAAAACTAATTAAAAGCAAAATTAATTTCTAGAATTTGTATTTAACATTGATTAAGCACTTAATAACATCAAAATATTATAATAATATCAAAATGAAATACATTCATCTACATTTTCCATGTACTTGAACATATAGCTCAATGTACTTGAACATCCTTGGCAAATCTCCCCCTCCGCGTATCAACACATAGCTCAATGTACTTGAACATAATCCTCTCAAGAGGATTATGTTCCCTCCGCTGTACATCCTGACTGTTGTCCTCAAAAGCAGACACGGCCCTCGCTCGAGCCAAAGAGGATTGGTTGAAACCACGCAACTTAGAGATACCGTGACCATCCACAGAAGTCCCTCGGATAAGCTTGTCCCCAAGCTTGTTGGTATTAAGGTCTCTCCTTCAATGAGTATCACCTGACAAAATCAGCAGTCAAGGGACCGACACTGCGTTATGTATGCATTTAACCATATAAAAAGGGTCCAGAAGTAGCAACAATAGATTACAATCTACAACCTACTCATAATAACAAAACACGTGCGAGCCACCTTAAACTCGATACAAGATTGAATAATTCATATAAACATTGTCAGACAGTCATCTATTCAAAGGTCTGGCTACAATGGGTTGAGGGAATGAGCGTAATTAGAATTCTTCTTTCCCCAGATTGATCCCTTAATGCATAGACATGTCGCAAGAAAATTGACCCATGCATTGCATGTATTTGCAGGCTATTCGAAAATACAAAACAGGTAGAGTACTAGGGATATGCTTACCTTGGCTATAGAAAGAGTTTTAGCAGAAAGATCACAGCTCAAAAGCATTACACCTTTCAAGCTACAAAAACCACACATGAAGCATCAGAATCAAGAAAATGAATCAGGAAATCTTCCAGGTTCAAGCCTAAAGAGTTACAAGTATTCTGGAACTTGCCTCTGAACTGCCAATGCTATGGATGTACCATTTGGACAAGTACAAAGATCAGTGACAGCATGACAGGGCTCTTCTTCTATTCCATCAGTAGCTGAAAGTTCTGCCTTCAGGAAGAAAGTAAATCCTTCTGTCAAACTGGGTGAAGAACCAAACAGAACAAAATTATAATGAAAGAAACAGCAGCTAGTTTGAACCACACCTAAGCATTCTTAGTCTTTTTGCTCTATTGTGAAAGTGCAAGCACAATTACTGGTTAACTGAGACATAAGTTAACCTGAATACAGTTCTGTGGAAGTAGGTACTATAATAGAATCTTTGAAGCATTATAAGTCTGACAAAAATCTTAGACGCATTCAAGTCAGTGATACCATCTTACATTCAAAGAAGTGAGGAACCAATACCTTAGCTCCAATTTCACAAGTATCCAAGAGAGAACCCAATGTCACATCCCAAAGGCGAACCTACAGAGGAAAGATGCACTGAGTACTTAGGCAAAACTAGACTCCATGTAAACCGGGGAAACTTCTCAGCTGCAATCACTCACAGTGGAATCACCGCTTCCTGAAACAAGAAGCCCATGTGGATAATCTGGGGAACGAATGAAGTCAAGGCAGGATACATATCTGTCATCAACGTCAGAAATAAAGCGATTTAGTACCCCACTTAATCTGCCAATAAAATCTTCGGAACAGCATACATGATTCGATGTTTAATCGTGTCAAGGGCACATAAAAAGCCAAAATCTTTTCAAAATTTCTATTCAAAACACCTGGCCTCGAACTTCAACGCATAGACACTTACTCAGAATGACCCAAGCAAAAAGTTTGTCTCTCGTGAGCCCCATCCAATGGATTCTTGGGAACCACAGTAACCTGTTGCAATTACAAAATGATACAAGATTGGTATAAGAACAACCTAGAAGTTTAACTGATAGACAAGTAAATAGCCTTACACGAATTTTATAATCCCGATCAGCACTGACAATGAACCGTCCATCTGGAGAAAATTCCTGCAACAGATCCTTCACTTAATTAACACAACGACGAAGCATTCAAAAGCATACAGGTCATCATGACGTCAAGGATGGACAGTCACGCCAAAAATTAGCAAATATTTAAGCATTACCAAAATCAATAAAAGAATTTAACATTTGAGTTCTCTTTCAAAAAATTAACAACAGTTTAAACTTTATCTGGGTATGTTGGACACAGAGAAGGGGATAAAAGGGACACCTTGAAAAAGAAACCAACTTACCAAGCTAGCGATGATGCTGCAATAGTGAGCCAGCATTGGTGCTGCTTTTTAATCAGGCAAAGCCTGATTTTCAGCATCCTCCTTTAAACTCACAACCCAAACAACTCCAAGCTTATCAGCAAAACACACAAATAGGCCATCATTGCTTACTGCAACAGCACTTACTCTCTTCTCACAACACCTACAAAATTAGCAACCGTGATGGAGCCATCAGTTTAACAAGAGTAAGAAATTCAGTAGAAGTCAGAAATGAAACTAATGGCAGAGTGCCAAAGGGGAAAAAACAAAAAGAACAGTTCAACAAGCAGGCAGAAGGAATTTGCCACTTCAGTCTCAAATTGAGTTCAAATGAAAATTAACAAATAGATATGTCTCACGAAAGAGTGCAAATGAGAGATTGATCGCACATCAAATGAACCTCCTCCCATGTCATTTGCAAATTAAACTCATTCTATGAGCAGGAAATCATCAGTACTTCACATGAAAAAAATAAAGCAGAAGCACACTCATCGCATCAAACAGAAACGAAAACGAAAGATCAAGAATGAATCGACCGAACGCCGCACCTGGTGAGAGCGAGAATTGGAGAGAGAGGAAGCCGAACCGGGCGCCACCGAATCGTGGGGAGGCGGAGTCTCCGACCACGTGAGCAGATCTGAAGTCGAAGTGTGAGGCTTCCTCACCGGCGTGCACCTATCCAGTTTCTTCCTTTTCCCCAGAACAAAAAAAAAAGGAAGAACACCCAAGAAAGAACTCACGCCGAACACCTCCGCCAATTCGAGCCTCGCTCCGCTCTCGTTCCCCGCGAACGCGGCCCCGAAGAACGGGCTCCGCGCGGCGAGGACGCACCGGTGGACAGGGACCTCGCGGCCGTCGCCGGCGACGATCGCGGCGTTGGAGAAGGACGAGCCGGCGCCGGCGCGCGGGCGCTCGAAGATCGATTCGAGGCTGTCGGAGAGCCTCCTCAGGGCTTCCGTATCCGGCGGCGTCGCGTATGAGGAGGGAGCCTCCGTGCCGGTCGGCGTGGAGCACACGCCGCTGCTGTAGCTGGTTTCGTTCGAACCGGAGAGCCCCGAGTCCACCATGTCGCCACCTCCCCGGCAAACGCCGCACGGAAGCCAAGGCGCTTCGAACGCGAGGACGATGCGGCGCTTCAAGAAGAACCCAAGTGGGAGTCGAGAGCCCCTTACACGAGAAGAGAGAGAGACAGAGTTGCTGGACTATAGACAGAGAAGAAGGGAGCTAAGGGTGCGACCATTATGCTCCAGAAATCAAATTCTTGCCAGAAATTGATTTCTTGAAGAGAAATCTATTTGGTAAAACTTGACTAATTCTGCTTTAGAAATTGATTTCTGGAACAGAAATCTGTTTTGATTTGTTGATTTTTTTTGCATCTAAAAAAATTTAAATTTTACTCAAAGTGGGTGGCCACAGGTATTATAAGCCATTCTGTAAAGTTTTCAAATTTTTGATTTTTTTTTTAATTTTTTTTGGGCACCTAAAAAATTTAAATTTCACTCAAAGTGGATGGCCACAGGTATTCTAAGCCATTTTGTGAATTTTTTTATATTTTTGGGCACCTCAAAAAATTTAAATTTTACTCAAAGTGGGTGGCTACAGATATTCTAAGCCATTCTGTGAAGTTTTCAAATTTGTTATTATTTTTTTATTTTTTTGGGCACCTAAAAAAATTTAAATTTCACTCAAAGTGGGTGGCCACAGGTATTTTAAGCCATTTTTTGAAGTTTTGAAAATTTTTATTTATTTTTTATTTTTATTTTTTTTGGGCACCTCAAAAAATTTAAATTTCACTCAAAGTAGGTAGCCACAGCTATTTTAAGCCATTTTGTGAAGTTTTGAAATTTTTGATTTTTTTTTTGCACCTCAAAAAATTTAAATTTCACTCAAAGTGGATGGCCATATGTGTTTTAAGCTATTCTGTGAAGTTTTGAAATTTTTGATTTTTTTTTTATTTTTTTAAAAAAATTCACCAAATTTCATATTTTCCCGAAATCTGACTTTTTTTTTATTTTCTGGAAATTTTTATGAATTTTTCTAGAATTTTTCAATTTTTATGCATTTTCTGAAAAAAAAAATTTATTGAGAAAATAGGGAGAATGCATTCCGGAATCAAGAAGCTACAAAAAGTAGCTTCTCTTTTTCTTGCCAAAAACTCATTCCGGAATAAAAAATGCATTCTGGAATCAAGAATGCATTATGGAATCAAGTATTTTTAACAAACGCATTTTTATTCCAGAATGCAAAAATCTCTCCAGAATGCATTCCGGAAATTTTTTAACAAACGCCATTCTGTTCCGGAATGCATTCCGGAACAGAATTTTTATTCCGGAATGCATTCCATGAGCACCCTAAGACGCCATTGTTTCCGGGGAGAGAGAGAGACAGAGAGAAGGAGAGTCAACAGGGTGGTGGAGGAATCAGCAGAGAGAGAGAGAGAGAGAGAGAGAGAGAACATGCGGGTGAGGGCGGGCAACGCAAAATTAGCGACGAACAAATGTTCGTCGCTAATTTTCCATGGCTCAATCTTTTTTTATGTAGTATAATTTTACGATGAAATTAACGACGATGGTAATTAGCGACGATTTATTATATTAAAAATTCAGCAAATAAAAAATTTTACGACAAACTTCATGTTCATCGCAAAAGGTTAATCCCAAATTTTCGTCGTAAAATTCTGTCGCAAATTAGCGAAACTGGGGGATCCAACTTCCAGTTTCCTTCATAAAAATTGAAACAGTAGAAAATATTTTCTAGTTCATTTCCACGTTTTAGCCAAATATTGGAAAATATTGTCAATTTCCTAAAAATATTTTTCAGAAATGTTATATTTTCCTCGAAACAAACGGAGTCTCAAATTTTTTTTAAAAGATTTGTATTGCATGAAGATGTTTTAGTAATACAATTTTTTTAAAAATAATTATCAGAAATAAGCTTCCCTAAATTTAGTTAAATGGGTCGGGTTGGGTATGGGTCAAGATTTTTATCTTGTGATAAATGGATCATAAATGGGTTAAATGGGTCAAGTTAGGTCGGACTATTTATAACCAAACCCAAATCCGACCCGACCTATCCATTTAACAGATCTAATTCTGTCAAAACTCAAAAAGGCGGAATCGAAAAACATACAAAAGAAAAGGAAAGATAAATGGTTACAGTACAGTTTATGCCTAACAAGGGGAAGTGGGGGAAGATCAGAGCCTTCAAAATTCCGAAAGCCAAAATCAGCATAACTACATGAAGAGAGCACTCAAAATTAGGCTAGCAACATCACGACGAACATCAATCTGTTTTGGGATAGAGACTGACGTGGAATGGATATCTATCTCTAGCAGAATCTGTTTAGGGATAGAGACTCCTCACAAAATAGAAAGCAGGCGCCCGCAGTTCGCATCAGAGAGAGCCCACGCACTCGAGAAAAGAGGAGAAGGGAGACGACGTGGGGCAATCGCTCTTTCAAAAACTCACGTCCCGGCGCTGCCGGCCTTCTGCCGCTTCCACCACCTTACACGTGATCATCGGCAAGGTCACTCCTCTTCCTCCTCGTTGAAAATTGGCCTTTGGAAGAGGATGTACGGGAATCGGTTTGGATCGATCAAGAGGGATTGAAGTCGACAATTCCGGTCTGATATACACACAAGGAGAGAAAATCATTCTCAGATTTGCATTTTCTTTCACTGAGCCGAGTCGGCCTGAGAGATCATGATTTTCTGACCACCGATCGTCGTCGAGTTTGGCGATTCATCTTACTGGTTATTGCCACCACATTGTCCGACGATTTCTGACTTCGTCGTCGATCGCCTTTTCGCAGCCACGAACCAGGTAAAACTCTCTCCTCTTATCCTCTGTTACATTCTGTCTTATGTAGATAGGTAGCCGAGAGTCCAATTTTCTGAATAAGATTAAACCAAGGTGAAATCCACTATATATGAGACTGATAGTGTCGTATATTCATCTAATTCTATCTTATGGTTGTGCGTTTGCGTCGGAAATGGTTACAATCCACTCATTCACCGTTTGCATAACATGGATTCCAATCCTCATTTTATACTTGATTTTGTTATGAGATTTTTCCACTGTGACTGAATCTGTGCTTTCTCTTCGATTTGTGGCATATGGTTTGATGTCCGAGTGGTTCACGGATGAAAGGCCAATCCCCTCGCCGGAGTTGCTCGCGGTTAAAGGCCAGTTTGTTACTTCCCTCTGCTTGTTGTGTTTATGCGTTGTTTGAGATATATTAGTCGGTGAATAGAAACGGCCCTCCGTCCATAATGGTGTTTGATGGCCGGTGGTGATGAAGCCGGCGGGATGGTTCTGGTGGTGGATGGTGATGTCGGCTGTCAACATCTGGCTGAAGCTCCGGCATGAGATATACGGTGAAGAAGAACAGAAAATAAGAAAAGAAATAATAAAAATAAAATAGAAAAATAAAAAAAGAGTATAATAAAGAGGTCAGGTCGGATATGATTAATTGATCTGGGCCGGGTGTTATAAGATTGAGAGATATGGATCAGATAAAGATAAACAATGGGCCGACTGAAATTGGTATTGAATCTGGACAAAATTTGATAAGTTGGCTATATTTAGATTGGGCCCAGAGTGATCCGAAAATCAGACCCAACCTGGACCTCTGTGGTCCGAGCAAGACCCACAATCAGACTAGCCATTTGGACTGGGTTCCCCTGACCCGGTCCGAAGTCTCTTTTTCAATAATAAAAAATAAGAATAAAAAAATTCAGAAAATTCAGGAAAATATAAAAATGTGGGAAAAGCTAAAAAAAATTAAAATTCATTTAGTTTAGGGCTTTTAAGAAACATTTTGGGCTTAAACAAAATTTGATTCAAAATTGAATAAACCTTTGGAGTTTTACCATAGGGATTTTTTTTTTGGTAAGGTACCATAGGGATTTTTTTATTGCTTTTTCTTTTAGAGACGATGCTAGGTTGCTATTGGTGCACTTTTATTTCGATTTTACTTTATTGCATACTTTTAATACATTGATTGTGGTTTTTCCTTTTTTAGAATGATTAGGTTAAATCTAGGATTTCAATGAACACAAACATGGCATGGACACTTAGTGGATGAAAACTTTTGGACTCATAATTGCATGCAACCACCAATGGATTTAGAGATGTAAATGGAGAGAAAAGATCTTCAGCTTGCTCCTAAAGATTTCCATAAGCAGTCTCAACCTCATGCAACGTACTAAAGGCCCTCTATAAATTGCCCAGCCAGGGAAGAGCATATGTACGAAGCTGGACTAGGTGTATTCTTTTGCCGTAAAGACCGTCGCACGATTGCCCAAGAAGCATCTAGGAGAGTAGAACTAAATGTTCTTCCAGCAATTCCAAATGCCAATAAAACCAGCCGTTCATCCATGGAAAGATGAACAGGAGGCCTTGCCATCTCGCCTCTAGCAATCCATTTCACCATAAATTCATAAAATGCTAATTTGCTATTGTCATCTTGCATCACAATTTCAACAATGTAGTTGCATACACTCCACGGTGGACAAAGAGCTATAGTTTGATCCATTGCCTAAGAACAGTGGCATGAACAAAGTCACAAATGGAAAGGACAAACCAAGAAATGCACATATATAAGTGCAGAACTTCAAGGATCAAGACCGAACATGTTAATGGCATACCTTGCACCTCTCAATTATCAACACCAATGTGTCCAACTTGCCTTTCTTAACACAGCTTTGTATACATTCAGAGAATACTTCCATCAACAACATATAGCCAGATTTCAGAGTTAGATCTACATATTTCAAGGCAACATTTATTTGATCTGCCAAAAGGAGCAAGTGAGTATGGGAACCTCACAACATTGGATGATCAGATATCTTGTCATGATGATGAATCTTCAAAGCAAATATACAAACAAAGTGAGGCAGGAGCAACGGTGAAGGAAATTTTCCAGAATGTGACTCAGCAGGGATCCAAGTACCCTGATTATTGTGATCTTTTAAATTTATTTGTTCTACTCTTTCACTGTCCTGATGAACCCTGACTGTGTCACATTTTGAAATTTTCCAAATGTTGATCAACCTTGTCAAACCAAAATTCAACATATTAATCTCTAAAAATCTAGTTAGTTTAATGGATGTAAAGATAACATATTATGCTCTTGATGCGAAAGGGGAAATTATTATTGCTAGTTGTGAGTGCTCATGAGCAAAAGTTCTTACTGAATGAATATTTTCAGAGTCCGCTTACAAAACTCTGAAGTTTTTATTTAGATGCAAAATGAGACTATTTTCTATAGCACAAATAGCAAAAAAGCTAGTTGGTTTTTCTTTAAAAATGTGGACATAATGAAACCAATTGATTACACTAAGCTTATAAATGCAATCTTCTCGAATTGGAGTTACGTTGATGAAGTAGTTACAATGTCTATTTACATGTGTTCAACTTCTATAATTGCAGTGTCCACTAATTGAGATTTAAGTTAGTATTTGGATGTAATGCAGGGTAACACTTACAGAGAACGAAAAAAACTAGCTTTGACTCTGGATGATACCAAGACAATTGTGACCAAACTCCATCAGATGATGAACATTCAAGTTGGCATCATCATAGCTGTTATGTGGCTCCTTATTCTAGGATTCGCCATGAAAATGTTTCTACTTCTCATAAGCTCCCAATTGCTACTTGTGGTATTCATATTTGGAAACTCCTGTAAGATGACATTTGAAGCGATTATTTTCTTGTTTGTGATGCATCCGTTTGACGTGGGCGATCGTTATGAAGTCGATGGGGTCCACGTACACAAGCGAATAGAGCTTTGTGCTTTCAACGGATGTTCAAAATATATGTTTCTAAACCATGATGCAGTGTTTTTCAGATGACGGTGGTAGAGATGATCATTTTAACGACTATTTACCTGAGATACGATAACCAGAAAATGATAATTCCAAACATGGTTTTTGCTACTAAGGCCATCAGTTACTACTATCGAAGTCCTGATATGGGATATGTAGTTGAATTCCAAACATTGTTCTTGTTATTCTCTATTTCATCGTGGCAATCTTCTCAATTGGTTTAGATATATGCACATAGAATTCAATTGCATCTTCCATATCAGGACTTCGATAGTAGTTACTGATGGCCTTAGTAGCAAGAACAATGTTCGGAATTATTATCTTTCTGGTTGTCATATCTTAGGAAAACAGTCATTAAGATGTTCATCTCTTCTACCACCATTTGAAACACAGTGCATCATGTTTAAAAATATATATTTTGAACATCTATTGAAAGCACAGAGCTCTATTCACTTGTGTACCTGGACCCCATTGACTTTACAATGATGGTCTACGTCAAATGGATGCATCACTAACAAGAAAATAATCGCTTCAAATGTCATATTGTAGGAGCTTCCAAATATGAAAAGCACAAGCAGCCATTGGGAGCTTATTAGAAGCAGAAACTTTGTCGTGGCAATTCCTAGTATAAGGAGCCATATAATGGCTATGAGTATGCCAACTAGAATATTCACCATCCGATGGAGTTTGTTCACAGCTGCCTTAGTATCATCCATGCATCAAAAGTTAGTGCTCTTAGGTCTTTCAAAGCATAACTTGCAGTACATCCAAATGCAAACTTACAGCTCAATTAGTGGACACTGCAACTATAGAAGTTCAACACAATTAGATAGACATTGTAATCGAGTAACTCTAATTCAAGAAGATTGCATTTATAAGCCTCGTGCAATAAATTGGTTTCATTATATCAACATTTTTTAAAAAGCGCAAACTAGTTTTTTGCTATTTGAGCAATAGAAAATGGTCTTATTTTGCATCTAAATTAAAATTAAGGAGTGCTTTGACCCAACTCTGAAAATATTAATTCAATAAGAAGTTTTGCTCATGAGCACTCATAACTAGCAATAATTATTCATCCTTTCACATCAAGAGCAGGATCTATTACCTTAACAGCCACTAAACTAACTAGATTTCTAGAGATTAATCTGTTGAACTTTGGTTCGACAAGTTAGATTAATATATGTTAAATCTATAACAACTGGCGCCTTCTAAGGTTTATTTTATACGATAAAAAGTTATCTTGCTCAATACTTATGGTGAGACATTGAACAAATTGCAAGATTTTCATTGAACCTTAAATGACCATCTAAATGCAATCCCAGACACAAAGGCTGAGAGGTTCCCATTGTGGCGCATTGGATACTTTTAGGCTGGTCGGTTGTCAAGGACCACAGATGAGGTCACAATTAGTTATCTCTTAATTGTATATCAACATCCCATGACTTACCTTAGAATTACATTGTTATTAATTCCTTCTTCTTATACACGACCTCGTTTGACTTCTACCAACCTTTCAATTAAGTGCTAAAAGAATCAAGACAACAACGTTAGATACTTTCTATGATCTATTACCACCCAGCTTTTAAGGATGATTTGCTAATTTTCTGGCTCTCAGATACTCTTTCAAGTAGACTCGTTGTCTTAACAGCCTCATCTTCTGGCATAAATCGCATCAAGTCCTCTAGGCATATGTGCCCGACATGAAACAGCAATTCAAAAGACCGATAAAAAATTAGACTAGTGACTAAGAAGTTTATAGAGCTGATAAAGATACAAAGAGAACATAAATGGAAAGACACGGCATGGATTAATGGAGAATGGGTAGTTCTGAATTTTAGCAGAGCAGACTATTCAGCTCCTAAAATAATTTTACAAAATGATGCCAAAATTGATAGATAAGATAAAGTTCGGGGCTTCTTCTCGAATAGTTTGGCCTACTGTAATATAAAGGATTAATATGGCCAAGACGATGACATGGTTAGGGATCATTAGGACAAGGAAAGAGTAGAACAAAAAAATTTAAAAGATCACAATAATGAGACGCATCTGGATCCCTGGTAAGTCACATCTTGGAAAATTTTCTTCGCCATACCTCTCACCTCACTTTCGCTATTTATTTACTTCGAAGATTCATCATCATCACTAGATATCTACTCATCCAGTGTCGTGAGGTTCCCATACCGCACCAAATTCATTAGCCCCTTCATGTTCCAGATAAATACATTCTTGTGACTCAGTTTATGCAAGTGATCGATTATGATCCCTTCTTCCCCCTTGTCCTTTCCTCTAGGACTCTTCTGTACTCTCCAGCTAACTATCACTCTCCTACTACCTTTCTCCGGCAATTAAGCTGCATTAAGGTCAAGACCCACTGAAAGGTTCAATGAGACGAGTGGTTTTTTATAGTGCGAGGACAAATAAATGGCACCGTGCCCCCGACATGCTTCGGAGACGGCATTTCTTTGGTTCATGTGTCATAAACAACTGCTTGTACGTAGCTGGTGGTGAGAATGAGGGTGTTCACCGTAGGTTCTTCAAGCCTAGAAACTGTACACTAAACTCAGTTCCTTGGTTATGTATTTTCGGAAATTTCTTGCCTCAGTGATATGGAACTGCATCCAGATGAGGCCAAAAGCTTGTCAAAATCGGATTTGAAGAAGTTAAATGGATGCGCACTCCAAATTAAAGCTCAAATGTCCCACTTTAGAGTCGCTGATGCACCTAGGGGACCAATGGACCCGTTATGCAACTAGACGAACCGACGGGCTCGAAGTCAACGATCTCGGATTGAGCTCAAATTTGGTCGGTTGAAGCGAAACGGCGAGTTGATCAATACTCACAATTGTGACTAACGATGGATTTTCGCGATTCGGGGTCATTTAGATGGGTTTTCCTTTTTTTTAGTATTTTTTATGGGTTAATTTAGTAAAGGGTAGTTTCGTAATTTTACGTTTTGATGTTTACTAATCCTAGTAGGGTTAGGTTTGGAGATATATAAGCTTGTTTTAGGGTTTTGTTTGATCAGACTTTGGATATTTTGATTTGATAATCATACTTGGAGGACGAATTATTCTTCTGTTGAATTTTCTTGTTCAGTCAATCTTTCTATCGCGTTTCGGCATCAATTGGTATTAGAGCACAGGTTGCTTACATCAATGGTTGAACAGAATCGCGGTCGTGGACGGTAGGCTCGTGGTGGCCGGGGCGTGGAGGCGTTCCTGAAGCAGACGACCAACCATGTCTAAGAGATTTGCGAGACGTAGAAATTGAAGAACAGAGAAGACGAATCTAGGATTTGGAGCGACAACTTGCGGAGGCAAGGTTGGGCGTTCAATCCGAAGAAGAAGCAGAATTTGAGGATCCATCCGATGATGAAGAGGAGGATGTAAACCCTTTCGGGATTCCGAATCAGGGGCGGAATCGAGGAGTATGACCTGGAAATCAGCGTTCTTCGCAAATTTTCGGGATGAAGATCGAGATTCCCGAGTTTAATGGTAAGGCTCATCCTGATGAGTTTATCGATTGGTTACATACAATAGAGAGGATCTTTGATATTAATGATTTGACTGAAGAGCAGAAAGTTAAATTAGTGGCTATTAGGTTACGAAAACATACATCGATATGGTGGGAGCATGTGAAAAGACAGCGTGCTAGAGAGGGGAAATCAAAAGTAAACCACTGGGATAAGATGAAGAAATTGTTGCAGAAGAAATTTTTACCTATTCATTATAAGCAGGAGGCATTTATTGAGTATCACAACACTAAGTAGCGAGATTTAACGTTCGAGCAGTATACCGAGGAGTTTGATCGTTTGCAGATGCATTGTGATGTGGCTGAGGAAGATGAGCAAACAATTGCTCGATATTTGGCAGGCTTGCGGTATGAAATTTCTGATGTTGTCCAATTACAGCAATATTGGACCTATGAGGATGTGTGCAGGTTAGCCTTGAAGGTGGAAGGTCAGTGTAAAAGGATGAACGTGAATTCCAAATTTCAGAATCGTTGGTCAGGCAAAGAATCCCGAGGAAAAGCGAGAACATCTGCAGCAAATTCGACACCAGTCGCAGTTAAGGATGCGAGTTCTAAACCTACATCCAGGGATTCGGGCATTTTGCTGCTGATTGTCCAAACCGACAGATTGTGACGCTTGTTGATAATCCAGTCATTGATGAAGGTCCAGTTTATGATGAATTTGAAGGCGAAGAAGAGGATGCGGATGCGGAACAGGAAGGGATTATCTATGCTGATTCTGGTGAGTCCCTAGTCGTTAGAAGAATATTAAATGTTGTCGTAGCGGATGATGAATCATGGCTT